CGTTCGTTCTGTCAATCCAATGTGGGACAGGTCTATCTAGCAAAAGTGGATTCGTCAATTTTGCGGTACACTTATTCTTGAAGGAAGCCGGCGAGTGAATACGCACGGTGCACGATAAGGGCGTCTGGACTTGATCTGCACCACGACTGCGGCGGACACCGAATTGTTTTCCTCGGTATGCAGCCATGGCTTCAGACATTCTTCAGCCGGCGCCTTCTCAGAGTTTATGGTGGCTATAGGGCATCCACAAGCACAATCCGTCACAACCAGACGGCGAGGGCTTGTGGGACACTGGGATTTTTTTTATCTTTTGTGTATCTTCTGATGATGTTTCGTTCACCAATCGACACGTTCCACCCTTAATTTCAATCGGCAATCTCCCACGACAATGGGGTAGTTTCCCATCTCCGAGCCGATCGATATGTCGACTATTCGATTTTCATTACCTCAATCTCTCCATTGCATTTATGATTTTTGCCTGAATTTGCATTACATATGAGTTTATCCTCTCGAACAGTTTGGGAAGTGGGTGATCTGAAAAATCGAAAAGTATAAACTATATGGGATAAGATTCGCTGGTGTAAAGTTTTTCCTGGTTCTTAAGTGTCCAACGGGTCTAATTCTGAAAGACCATGGGCCTCATACAATCACAGAACTTCCAAGAAGCAAAGGTAATGTAGCGGCTACAAAAGTGGTTTAACATCCCCATAGATTCTTTATGAAAAATCCTTTGGCGAGCTCATGTTTTCTCAGTTCGATCAATTGTTGACAAACTGCTATTCATGTAAACACTGCTGTTGAGTCATATTCCACTTTTCTTTCTTTCTTTTCTATTTTTTTCCTTTGCTGATTCATGTCGTCGTTTCTGGTGCTACATTGGTCCAGATATGTGTGTATAGGGCCATTACTGAGCCCTCTAGCAACGTTGAGGCCAAGCATTGCAGCGCTGGGAAGGTGTTTTGTGTGAAAAGCCCTGTTATCACGCTCTATCTATCGATCATAGTTGCAGGGGCAAGTGTTGCAAAGTAGCTTGGTGGGTGTCGGTTCTTTCATGCTTTTCCTCAAGGGAAATTGCAGAATCACGTGAGCTGTGACAGGTGCTTTAAGTGCAAAGCGCCACCATCATTCACGTCTTGGCTGCTTTGAGAGAAATGCTGGAACCTGTTGTTCCTGCTTCTCCTCCTTTGCCTAACTCATTCATCTGCTTTTTTCATGAAATGGTATGAAATGGTCTAGGGCCCGAAGCAGTGTCTGTATATGTCCCTATTAAGTCTTTGGCCTTAATCAGTATCTTTGCGGGATGTGCCCCGCATTCCACTTCCATTCAGAATCGTTTGAAGTGGTTTGAAGCGTATATGGCCTATGCAACGATTGGGGGCGGCCAGTCGATTAACATTTCAGTGATTTTCGTTATTTTAGCGTGGGTGTTTCCTGTGCAATAAACAATTACAACAATTGCAATTTTACCCTCGCAGGCGCGTGGTACCAATTAATCGACTTTGGAGTGAAAGCTAGTTGGCCCGGGCCGATCCTGGATTCGAACTTGGACCTGGTGAGGTATCGCACCACTTTCACCCTGACTCCCACATGGGGGACCAAATGTTTCATCCTCCAAATGATCCAGTGAATCGATAAAAGATTAGTGAGGAAAGAAAAACCTGATCGGAAGAGTCAAGCATTAGGAGGTATCCCAGGTATAGAAAGAGATTCGGCATCGAAGAAGAAACATTTTGATACAATAGGGCATGGTTAGCACGGCTGTGTTGAGGTGTTGAGTTCGTTGGCGCTCTCTGAGGCTTCAAGTAAACTTCGCCTGCCAAACTTCCTGTGGTTTCTTTGAAGAAAAAATTTTCCAAACAAATGTTCAACTGCCTCCTATCTCAATAAGGCGTCCTCTGAGTTGTAATAAACTTTTTTGTAAGCTTGTCGATTCTGTTTCAACGCTTCTCGCCTCAGATAACTGTTACTTTTTGGTCACTGGTTTCTGGCCTGGGATCATGACGTCCTAGTCGTTTAGACCTATCAGAATTAGGACCTTCAACAAGACGATCCCATCTCTGAATGGGTCGATTTGGGCTCTTTTGGATGACAACTCGACTATTCCCTACATTAATCAAGGTAGTTGCGGAATGTGGACTTGAAGATGTGGGAAAGACGTCATTGCCTTCACGTTATAGGATTTCTTCATAGTTATTTACTGCTAACAAGAACTAGAATACTTCTATCAAAGTGCTCTTGTAACTACCGTATATCGNCTCAGATAACTGTTACTTTTTGGTCACTGGTTTCTGGCCTGGGATCATGACGTCCTAGTCGTTTAGACCTATCAGAATTAGGACTTCAACAAGACGATCCCATCTCTGAATGGGTCGATTTGGGCTCTTTTGGATGACAACTCGACTATTCCCTACATTAATCAAGGTAGTTGCGGAATATGGACTTGAAGATGTGGGAAAGACATTGCCATCACGTTATAGGATTTCTTCATAGTTATTTACTGCTAACAAGAACTAGAATACTTCTATCAAAGTGCTCTTGTAACTACCGTATATCGCTGTGCTGATAGTTTAGGATTTGTAGCCTTCCCAGAGGTCGTTTGAGAAAGCGAGAGGGAGATGCCAACATCAGATTTCGTTAGTGCAAATGGGGAGGAGCCTATGCAGCCTTGTCCTTAGTTGTTTTCGTCTTTTTTCCTCGATTTCGCTCCAGACTTGCAATCTGAACGTGTTTTTTTAGTTACTCGTTGACTTGAGTGATTTTAATTGATCCTTACAAGATTAGGAAGACCTTCTAGTGGGGCCGAGGGGTGAGACTCTTCTAGAAGGGTTTGCCCGGGGCTGGATAAATTGTATCCATTTGCTTCATATTCCCTTGTGATCTGTCTAGTTGCATCTCGTCCGAATTTATNAATGACTTTTCGGCTAGTTCCACCTCGGGTCACTGTTATGCCGTCAATTTGGATGAAAGCGGCGCATATCGATAGGACTCCGTCCGGGACCTGCTTGATAGCCAGCTGTGATCCATGAACTCGAATAATGGGTGATTCATGACTTTGGAGCTTTTTTACATACCCTTTATAGATCCAGCTAAAATCGAACTCAATATCCAGGCTAAATCAAAAATTCCGAAAAACCGGCATGTTCATATTTCAGCGGACGACGTCATCGGTCCCCTGTCTCGGTAGTCAATAGAATTTTGCTTGCAGGAACGCTGCAACAGCGGGGCTATGTGCGTTAGGGGGTCGATCATGTCAGCTGATTGGCACTCCTCTACAGCTCGGCTGGCTAGCTGCACCAGTGCACGTCAACATGCACTGGTTGTCGGCTGCGCTCGTTCAGTTCGTACTCTCTCGCTGTCTGCAGACAGACAAGTTATTCGGTCGGTCACATGCGCGATTTTCTTCCGCCGTTGCTCGTTGCACCCATCTGTGCCTGCCCCTTGTTTTGAAGGGATTCTTTGCAACGACGATTAGCAGATAATCTCAGTCCAGCCGATGGTGATGCAATTTTAGTTTTCTCTTTTCTCCTATCCTCAAGTGATTTCTGATGCTCTGGGGACGAACTCCCTATCATCCTCTTAACCAGGTGTTTCTATATTAGTGGATTGGCAACGCATGACATAAGCTGCTGTTTGCTCGATCGTAGCTGCGATGATGTACTTCTTTTCGTCTTAGTTTCCGTTTCCTCATATTCCTTTTTTCAAACTCTTCTAAATTTGGCTCTCTCTTAATCGGATTTTGGATATCTACGATGCGGCTATTCGCTTGGAACTTCGTCAAGGAGCATTATCTGCCAATGACGCTTACCAGAAACAAAAGCAATAACAGGAGCCGGATATCTTGAGAGAAGCTTCAACTTGAGCTTTTCTCCCATGTCGGAGGCCATTTTTGACAGCGTATCTGTTACAGCCAGTCTAAAGAAATTCTGTTAAGTTAGTAGATAGAGTTTAG